CTCGGCGTCGGCGTCGGCGGAGGAGTATGCGTTGGTTAAGGTTGACTATGATATGCCTTCTGGTGGTGCTGCTGGATACGGGGCCGGCTGGTCCGGGGATTCGGTTCAGGCTTCTAACGCTAACGCTGGGGTTTTTTCAATGTGGAACGAATGAAAAATGTATCCTTACTGTTACGTACGTGTTAGTTTATTTTGTTAACTCAGAATTAGGAGTTGATTTTCCAAATCTAAACTCTTAGTCTCTAATTAATTAATTAAGAGGCCGCGGCCGTGGCCGTGGGGTTAAATTAAGTAGCGTTGGCGCCTCATTTTCCTTCTCCGTCCTATATATTTTCTGAAAATACTAAATTAAAACGGCTCTTATATTGTTATTGAGAAGCACAGTGCAACAGCAACCGCAACTGAGTGATTTACTTGTGATTTGTTTGGTCTTCAATTGAGCACACACAAAACTCTAGCGATTAATCACTGTATCTTTTATCGCCATAGATATAGAGGCCTTTAATATTTAATAATTGCCAAACTTCTGAAATTCAAACCTACCATTTTTACCAAAGATGTGTCTTTTAACTAATTATACCATGTCTGAGATATTCTATTAAATTAACAAAAAAAATCAAATTGTTTTGAAGTTTTGTCTGCAGTGCATTTTAATTAACCATTGCTTATTCATCTAACAAAAAAAATTAACACACCATTGATGAGACCGAATTAACTGTTTTTTTAGTTCGATCAGAGATTTTTGGAGAGTTGATCTTAACTTGTTCTCATGCTCATATGCGAGTTCCAGAATAACTATGTATCATCTTTAAAATATTTTTGAGATTAAACTTACAATGTAAATTAGTAATTTGGGAATAATGGAGATTTAGAAAAAAAAAAACAATGAAAATATATTTATAAAAGTGATCAAGTAATGTGAGGGCGGAGATCCACACCTTCTATTTCAAAGCAGATAATTGGTGCATTACCATTCAACTATCTTCGGATTAGCTATTTTGACCATTTTGATGAGTGACTGTAGAGGGAATGTTTTTGTCACTCTTCTCTAAAGCTACTTGCTCTCAGTAGTCAGTATGTGTTTATCACTGAGCACGGTTCTTCTCGAACTTAAGTACGATTCACCATCACCAATTGAGCTCCTTCTAAAGGCTTTTGCCTGTGGCGTTCTAACACTGACATATAAATTATTCATCCCACTAATATATCTTTTTATATTAGGATTTGTTATTCTATTAGTGTTTATCGAGCATTTTCTCTGGTTGTTCAAGAGGTGCAACAACGTGCGATCGCTTCTCTTTATGCACAAATGGCCACTGCTTTGTTGCCCTAGAGTAGTTTTTTTTTTTTAAAGAAAACCATTTCAATAAGAAGTATGTGAGAAACATACATACAAATTAAAAGGGAGGCTAGACAAATGCTCTCCAATTCAACGAAATGATCCATATATCATGATTACAAAAAATAGGAGATTTTGAAAACCATGAGGATGCTAAAGTCTTAATATCTTCCCAAAAATGAAAATAAGATCTAGATAAAGCAGAAAATGTACAATTGTTACGCTCCAACGAAATACTCCAGATAATTATGGATCTCATAATATTGCTCTAAATAATGGATCTTCTATTGCGTAGGCGCTCTCATTCTCTCTCATTCTCTTATTTGTTAATATTAGATTTTTGCTCAAGCCTTCTTCGTCTTTCAAAAGGCAACCAACGAAAGCCACGTGCAATCATCGTCAAGGCAGCCCACCTCGAGTTAGACTCGACAGCCACGAACGTCACTCCTGTTCGATGGGAGGGTTCAGGTCTCCGTCCAATCCGGTTGGAAGCCATTGCGGGTTCTTCGTCTTTCCAAATTCAGGCTTTTGGATTCATGTTTGGAATCTAGGAAATCTACTATAGGATTTTGTATTTTCTTGGGTGAATCTCTTGTTCATGGAAAGCTAAGAAGTTTTTCAGCTGAGGCCGAATATCGAGCTCTTACAGCACAACAACTACTAGTGAGACTGTATGACTTTCTCACCTCTTAACTGATTTGCAAATTCCAAGTTCCTCTCTGCTCTCCTTTTTAATGACAATCAAGCAGCACTTCACATTGCTTCTAATCCCATTTTTCACGAGCGAACGAAGCATATCGAACTTGATTGTCATTTTGTTCGAGATAAAGTCATCAAATGGTCTTATAAATCTGTTGTCTATACAACTGATTGATATTTTTACAAATGACCTTCCTAACCAGCCTTTTTTTCAACTTTGTTATCCAAAATGGGGGTCTTGAATTTGTTAAATTCATCTTCGAGGAGTATTAGGATTTGTTATTCTGTTACTGTTAATCCGTTAACAAGCTAGTTAACTTTATTTCTTTGTACTTTTTGGGCTATATACGAGCCCGAACTCATTAATAAAAGTGTCCAAAGTTTGTTTAGCCTAGTGATCCAATACAGTATAACAAATTCGAGATATGAAAGTTTGAACCTTTAGCCTCGAAAGAAAGAGCAGACGTAATTTACTACTTAGTTATGTTTCTATACTCCCGGAATATAATTATATAATTGTAGATGTTGTTTAAACTTCAAATATATAAGTAGTGTTTATTATTTTATTTTTTTTGGAAATCGCAAGAATAGATTATCCCGCCTGGCATCAATATTTACATGGATACCACGATGCTGTTAATTGGACTGGACCAATGTTTTCTCTGATAGCCCACAGCTCATGTGGGCTGGATATAAAAACGTTCATAATTTTGTAATTAATTTCGATAAATATTGGTTCACAAAAAGTAAAAATGAAAAATACGAATTGGATAATATTTTTCTGCAAACTTGAATTGAATAAATTAATAGTCTAAAATATCTAATAAAATGAAAATAAAAATTCTAGAAAAAAACTGGCTGAAAATTTACTAGCAAAAATTTAATATGTATACTAAAAAAAAGATATAACTTTCCATTTTTTTCCAAATGTAGCATAAATATGATATCTATTATTGTGTTTAACATAATAATATGCTTGAATTTGAGTTAAATTATAATTATGTTATTTTTGGTAAAGTTTCAAACTTCATGATATATTTAAAAATAAAAATTTATATTATATTCAATACTTTATTATTATTATTATTATTATTATTATTATTATTATTATTATTATTATTATCATCATCATCATCATTATTAGTCCCTTATTGAAGCATAAGTTTCTTTTTAAATACTTTATTATTATTATTATTATTATTATTATTATTATTATTATCATTATTATTCGTAGATGAGTTTGTTGGGTCAAGTACAACCTTATTGTTTCCTCAAAGCAAATTCAAATATTTTGCCCCCCAAAAAATGGTAAATTCAATTTCTGCCCCTACTCTCCCGCCACTCTAGATCATAACTATAATAAATAGATACGAAAAATTAATAATTTCAGAGGGTGATTAAAAATGTAAATAATGCGTGAATTATTATATAAATTTGGAAAAGACTTACAAATAAATAAAAAATAATAATACTAAAAAAAAAAGGGTGTGATGATGGATGGGCTGTTTTCGAATACTGAGCGTAAAAGTGATCCTACGGTTGAATTCAATTAGCGTCATCAATGTTAAAGATCCATAATAATTACAAATTTCACAAAAAGGGAAAAAGAAAAAAGAAAAAGATTTCTAGTAATTTTCTTTGGGGTACATCATTCTGACAATTAATACACACTCGCATATTATATAATCAGGCAAGTGGATCCAGTCATGATGGTGCCCGTGTGACACCAAAAACATATATTATAAAATTCAAGCTATTAATTTGAATCATCCTGTAATCTGTAGGATCTTATAATTTGCATCAAATTTTCGACCTATAAAATAAAATGTCATATCGATTTGTATTTTCCTTTTTTTATTGTAGAAGATTAATGAGTGATTACGAAATGCACCCAATATTTGGAATATTTGATATAGTCGATCAGAAGAAAATACACGCAATATTGTGGAGGTGGGCTTTGTGCTTCCCACTTATAAGCCATTATCCAAGGACTTTCCTTTTCACTCATACAACATATTATAAACTAATCCATTTGTCTTCTATTTATATTTTTATATACATGCTTAAATGTAGCTTATGAAATTTTGGGTTTTTTTCTTCTAAAGATTTTTACTCACTTTTCCAAATTGGTTAGAGGCTTTTTATTCATATATTAATTAGCGATAAAAGAGAGAATACGAGGGAGGTTATCAATAAATTTTCAAAAAAAAAAGTTAATAATAATAACAACAACAATAATAATCAATATAGATTTGAAAAGAAAAAAAAATAAAAAAACTTAGTGACTAAAATTCAAGAAGTAAAATAAAATTTGAACCTTAATTTTTTGGAGCTTAGAAGAAAATGGTAATTGTGGTTGTTGAAATGGATCCACTGATATATAGAAAAACATAAAAACAAAAAGGGGTAATATATATATTTATGGTTCAATAATGGCCGACAAGTGCATCACCAAAGTGTATTTGGCTTTTTTATCTTTAAAGTACATTTGTTCCAAACTTTGACATTTGGTGGAGTGGAACCAATATTATTACTCCTACCCTTTTTTTCGTTCTTTCTGCTTTTTTTTTTTTCCTTTAAAAAAAGAATGGT